CTGGGGAATTCTGGGAGTTGAAGTCCACACATCTTCAAGGGGCCAAGGTTGAGAAACCCTGCTCAAGATTCTCCAGGCTTTGCTTTCGGAAGGCAGCTTGGTGGGAGAGGAGGAATCTCATTCACCTGCCAGAAGAACCTCTTGCCTTCTCCCTTCCTTCCAAACATCCAGAATGGAGCCACAAAGGCCAAATTAAGCAAGCAGCAATGCTTCCGGTTTATCAGCATACTCCAATACTACCCCACAGAGACTTGCTTACCAGTTTTAAACACAAATTAAAAACAAAGTAAGATTTGGGGCACTGCAGAGGTCAAGAAACAGAAGGCACCTGATATCTTTTGGCTACTTCTTTCCAATCTTTCCAGACAGCTCGTTAAGCCGAGAAGCACAGAGGGGCATTTCAAAATGCAAAAAGGGGTTTACATCATCAATTTAGCAAGCTGAGCTGCCCTTGGACCAACACCCTGGCCAACGGATGCTTCGTTGTTCCTTGAGGCTTGGAGACGGATGCTTAGCACTAAAGATACCGCAGAGCTAATGTGCCTCCCATGTGGATCCTTCCATGTGGATTCCTAACCAAATATCCCATCCACCCTCAGCACTCGTGGCACCAGCCTTTGGAGCTACCCCTCTTAGAGGCACTCCCGCATATGTGGAGACCCCGGGCTTTCCTGGAGCTCCTAATCAGGCACCTAAAAGATGCCGGCCTCCAAAGGCACCCCAAAAGTCATTCATCTGGCATTGATTAGGCCTTGGGCCCAAGCAGAAGCTTGAAGTTACATGTGCTGCATTATGTAAAAGGCCCAGAAAATCTGGCTGGAGCCCCTTCTCCTACCCCAGGAAATGGAGTGGGTGGGAGGCAGTGCAAGGAAGGAGACCCTTTGGAAAGAGATCAGCAGGAGGGGGATGGGAGTTCCACCATAAACCCTCTGGGTGGGCGAGACTCCAGGAAAATGGAACTCAGGGGGCAGAGTTTGCCCACAGGACACAAGGCCAGCGTTCCGTTTTTAGGTGTAATGCAAGTTTCCAAGCCTTACTTACACTTACACACACACA